ATGATAAAAAGTAATAATTATCAAAATTTAATATGTCTGTTAAGCAAGTTAAGAATAAAACTTCAACTTCAGTTTAATTTGTTGTAATAAGGATAGAGGGTAGAGATAATAGATTACAGATTTGCCTGAAAATCAATTAGTCAATGTGACTGATATACACAAATAAACCAAGAAAAAATGTTTCTTGTGCAACATGTGCCATCTTTCGTGGGGAGATTCCTCACGTACAAATAAGACTTATTTTTCATATCAACATAGGTCCGATTCTGCTTTGTTTCGTAGCTACTGAGTGTGAAAGTCTTAATAATCTTTCGATTTATTATAATTTTCTTCCAAGTACTTTTAGTAACTTGAATGAAATTTTGGGGGTAAAAGTTACTATAAGTGTTACTTATTCTAATACTAAAAAAGTGTCAATAAATTCATCAGGGACGTGCATAAGGGTTATCACTAAAATATTTTTTCAAAAAAAAACATGTGCGTCACTGACTATTTTTTATATCAAAATTGTGTAGGCCGTCTCATGCCAATTAAAAGTTATCTCTTAATATTTTGTCCAATTTTATTAATCACAATAAAATTAAAATAAAAATCAAATTAATCAATTATATATTTTACCTAAATCCTTATTAAATACTATTAATATTAGTTATTATTACTATTAGTGCAACAAACAGCAATTTCAAATAAAAAAATATCGGTATTTAAGATAACTACAAAAAAAATAATTTTAAAAAGTTTTAACATCCTGTAACTCTAAAACTATGCATTTCCATACCTACATCATGTTTATAGGAACTTTTTTTCACATTTTTTGATGAGGAATCAATTAAAGAAATTAATGATTAAATGATTAATCACAGAGGCCCAAATCGACAAAATATCAAGAGACAACTTTTAATCGGCATTAAACTGCTTAGACTATTTTGCTAACAAGAGAAAAAAAGCATGTGCTTTTTTTAGAAAAATATTCCAGTGATAACCCATATACACGTCCCTGGTTAATATGTCGACGCTTTTTTAGCTTTAAAATATGTCACATTTATAGTTACTTTTACCCAAAAATTTCATTCGAAACGCTAAAAATACTTGGAAGAAAATTATAATAAATCAAAAAAATATTAAGACTTTAATAGCCTGTAGCTACGAAACAAAGCATAACCGGACTATCTATGTTGATGTGAAAAATAAATCTTATTTTTACGTGAGACATGTTTTTTGAAACACTCTGTATAGTACATTGCAAAGTACTATATGAATAGATGTAGATTATCTAAAAAACATTTTCAGTGTGTAATGGGACGGTTTCGCGGCATTAGTAATATTGGCTTTACGAAATGAATTATAAACCAAACTGGTTCAATCCTAGTGATTTTTTCAGTCATCCTAGAGATTTCTTGACTATCCATTGATTTTTTTTATTTCTTTAATATAATAGATTGTTGAAATCGCAATATTGCTAATTATTGCAATATTTAACAATAATACAGCACACAGGCGTTACACAAGATATAAATAATCAAATTAACATTTGGTTAAAGCGCTGACCGTGAAAGCCGCTATACCATCTGGTATAGTTGAACTCTAAATGAATTTATAATGCAAATTGTAATTCGATTGTCGTGTAAACACTCGAGCAACGTTAAAAGGCTGCGAAGTCGCCTGAGAAGCAATTTTCACTTTTTATTCAACAAACTTTTACTTCCATATAAGCCATTTATGTGTATGTGTGAAACAATCGGTGAGAAAAACAATAACTTGTTTTTTTATTATAGTGATATGTTATTCATTATACTTTTTGAAATTTATAAGCCGCTATAAAAACATTGTATAGGATGTCTCACGTTAAGAGTCCATTTCACTAGTCCGAAAAAGTAGCAAAATAAGCGTTCGGCATTTAACGTTTTATGTAAAACTGGCTAACTATTTTTACACAAATAAAGAAGAAAATTAAAGATAAAGGATTATGCTATATCCGTATTGTAGCAGATTTTTAGAGATCTTCTTTATTTTTAAGATTTTGATGGTCAAACATCAACAAAAATTTCCTAATATTTGAACTAAATTTTATCGAAAATAAAGCAAAAAAAATATAAATAGATTGAAGTTTTGAAGACAGATCTTCAGCTCTTCACATACAGTGATATCAGCTTCAGCTTGTAAACATACAGTGATATATAATTTTTATGGTTTTGTAACAAATTGCTCGCTATTTTATGAAAAATGCTGAAGCTCTGCAAACCTTAATCAAGGCTTAATCAAAGCACGTGTGTTTAGAATTTTGGGTGTGGCTTAACACGACTGCCTGGGCTAAGCCCTTGTATATGAATTTTTAAAGTAGCTCAACCCCAGATGGCGGGGCGTATTTCACGGTCTTTTACTACAGAAAAATATTTTTTGTTACTCTGAATTTTGAAGCGACCAATAAAAACAGAGAAAATAAAAATCGATAATTTTCGGACTGTGCCAATTGGTTACTAATCGCCCAGATACTTTTTGTCTATTAGATATGCTATAAAACCTGGTAATTATACAATTCGACCATTGTAAATACCCGACAAATTCCGCAAGGCCGACGAGGCCGATGCTTTTCACTGATAAGAAAAAAAAATGTTTGTTTAGATAATTTTGATATATCGAGATATTTTTTCTTTCTGAATGCACATTTTTAAAGTATTTTATATTCTTTGTCCGCTTGATCTATTATACTGGTCGCATGTATCGAAGTTCTGTTTCTTCTAGTTTTAAAAAATGTTCTTATTTCTTTGTAGTTGTAGTGGTTGTAGTGTAAAATTAGATTAATTTTATTAAGTATAATTATAATGTTTAGTGTAGAATACCAGAAATAGTTTAGTAGTGTTTTTATACTTTATTTATTTTGTAGTTATAAGTAGTAGGTGAAGGGATAATTTGGTTATTTTTTCTTTTTGTTTGATTAATTAGTAAGTTTGATAATTTTTTCAGTGTAGAATACAAGAAGTAGTTGTGTAGTGTTTTTATAAGAGATTATATTAGTTTATTTTGTAGATGAGTAGTAGGTGAAGGTATTTGGGTATTTTTTCTTTTTGTTTTCCTTCTGATTGTAGTAATTCTATTAAGTATTGTGATAGATACACTATATCTCTTCCTTCAACTTCGTTGAAAAGTGCGTTATCATATAATTTTGGTTTTCTGGTAGTAGAATCGAAAAAAAAATCTGATTAAATTTATTTTAAATGAAATTAATCAAGTCTTATTAATCAAATTAATCTAGTCAAATAATAATAGTTAGTTTCTAAATATTATACAGTGTGAGTTTCCTACGATGTTCTCTGTGGGTATCTCGGAAACTACTGGAGATAGAGAGTTGGTTATATGGGGAAAGAATTGCAGTTTTGTGGAGTCATAAATATGCGCCTTTCGGATTTTTCGGAGAAGTTGAAGGCTTACTAGATATTTCGAAAAAAAACAAATTTTGGCTATTTTAAAACTTGTCTCTAATTCCATTATAATCTACCGTATGATCGAATAAAAACGGCGTCAACGATGGCTATGAAATGAAGATCGCTGTCATTTTATATGTAAAATTATATGGGAAATATCATCGATCGTCATTTCATAGCCATCGCTGACGCCGTTTTTATTCGATCATACGGTATTTTAGACAAAAAGTTTTCAGATAAAAGTTGTAGATAATCACATACCTAATGAGTTTGTGTTTCCTGTTTTTTTTCTAAAGCCTGTAAATTTTGACATATGACACAAACATTATGTTTTTTTTTTAAATGGTTGTTGATTATATATAGTTGGCCATGACTTCATAAAAAGCGCCATTTTTTTAAGCTTTTCAGCGATATAGGTATAATATGTTTTTTTCGAAAAATTACAAGTTATAGCCAATTCTTTTCTTTCTTGGCTAATTTCCATACCAATAATACCATGCCAATTAGTTGGCATCAAAAATGTAAAAAGTTTTATGTTTTCAAAAAAAATATTGTAAAATTCGTAAAACACTCAATTTAGAATAAATTAATCTAAGAATGAAATGATTCTTTCATAAACCTGCATTAAATCAAATTAAAATAGGTATGCAACTTTTTTTTAAATATTAATCAACAGCAATTAGCATTATCATAAATTATTATAAATAATGTACCAACATATCGAAATAATAATTTCTTTGCTAGTACGGTTTAGAATTCTAAACCGTATTAAATAACAGGCAAAAATAATCCACAATTTACAATAAAATAAAAGTTTCGTTTAAATTTCTTAATCAGCTGATCACTATTAAAGTTCGCAGAAACGCGGGGCTATATTATTACATTACTCTGAGGAAAATAACGAAAATAATCGATATTTTCGACTCCGCCCCGAAAGGTTCACGATTTGTCCTCCAGTTGGCAGCACATTTTGTTTAGTCGGTTGACCAACTTTAAGAATATATAAACAAGGGCTAAGCCTTAGGGAGATTTCTGAAATATAATATATATTTCCTTCGGCTACACACCCGCTTTACCCGGCCCCTGAGAGCGATCCGAAAGTACAGCGTAGTAGACTCTTTAATATAGGTAACTTAAACTACTAGATATATTTAGATATTTAAAAATTGATATAAATACTATTTTGTTGTTGAATTATTCTGTCTGACAACGAATAAGCCGATGAACAAGCAAGGCAAGGATCATTGGAATCCTATAGTGGTCCAGAGTTAGTACTGGGAATCCAAATCCATAGTACAATAAAACTCTGGATTAGGGAAAAGCAGAATGTTCACTGAAGAAGCAGAATGGGACACAGGCATGGCAAGGCATTAATTAAAGGCACTATTAAACACAGAGACCAGCAAAATAATACAAGGTATCAGAACGACTCGAAATGGACAAGTGCTAATAACGACGGACAAGGACGAAAAGGGAATCGCAATTTTAAACGAGGAAATTAAAAACCTATCAGCGGAGATAGGAACGAAAGTTACCGGAACAACCAAACCAAAAGGAGAAGTCATACATCTACGAGGTATGGAAGAAACAACAAGCAGAGAAGAAGTAATTCAAGCAATAACAGAAAAGGTTGGGACACTGCAGAACACTTTTCAGCTAAGCAATTTGCGACCTAACGCAAATAACACTCAAGCTGCCACTATTATAACTGACAAGGAAACTGCTCATTCATTACTGCAAGCCCCAACATTAAGAATAGGTATAGTACGATGTAGTTTAGAGAGGAAAGCCGATATCAAAAAGTGTAAGCGTTGCTGGGCACACGACCATACCGAAGAGCACTGTAATGGACCAGATAGGAGAAAATTATGCTATAAATGTAGTGAAGAAGGTCACACAGTAAAATAATGTCCGAATAACGAGAAATGTCCTATGTGCGAAGACAATAGACATAGAGCTGGAACTGGCAAATGCCGCGAGTTTCGTAGGGCATTGTCATATTACAGAAATAAAAACAGGACAAATCCAAAAAAAAACAACGCAGGAACTCCACAAGGTAACCTCCTCCCCTACTGTGGAGTTTCGTAGTGGATGAACTACTAAGCGATTAACTCTAGTGGGAATATACTGTATAGGGTATACAGATGATATAATCATGATCGCTCGGGGAAAACATAAAGGTACCCTGTGTGATATTATCCAAAGTCTCCGTGTCACTGAGAGATGACGCAAGACTGTCCGGCAGGAAAATTCATTTACCAGAAAGCAAAGTCTGAAAAATTTTAAAAAAATCCATCTAGATGGAAAGGAAAATATCTGGAAATAACCCTGGACAGTAAACTCCTCTAGAACAGGCATATTAAGAATATTACAAGCAAAGCCACAAAGGCTCTCATGAGATACAGAAGACTGGCGGGAAATATATGGAGCTGTACCCCTAACATTTTGCACTGTATATATACCATGATAGTAACACCCATTATTACCTATGCAGCAGTTACTTGGTACACAAAACTAGAGCAACGTACAGCAAGGCAAAACCTGTGCAAAGCCCAGAGACTGGCATGCATTTGCATCACAGATGCCATGAGAACATGCCCAACGGCAGCAATAGAGGTCATCCTAGACCTAACACCACTGCACATTGTCTTCGGTAGATATACCAATATGACAACGATTAGAAGGGTCGTTGACAGAAAAAGTATTGGGAGAATTGTCAGCTCAGGAGCTTGGATTGCAAATTGCACTCCTCCAACATCAAATTCCCACTCCTATCACAATCGCAAACATCACAATCCACACAAATCCCATTCCTCCAACTCCCAGTAGATAACATACCATGAATGTACAACTTTAAGAAACACCTCACTGTAGTATTGAGCAATAAAAGGATTGGAAGAGAGAAACATTTGCTCAGCAGGTAAAAGACGATACCAGAACGTGGTATACTGATGCTTCCAAAACCATATCAGGGACAGGGATACGAGTATTTAGGTCCAAAACTAAATACTCCGAATCAATGGGCATCTACTCTAGTATCCTTCAGGCAGAAATCTGCGCTATTGAAAGATGCGTACAATTTATCTTAGATTGGTTTAGTTTGGTTAGGCTGTTTTCCATAGTTAATGAAAACAGGAAATAGCCATCTTATCCGATAGTCAAGCAGCACTAAAAGCGATTAACTCGGTAACCATCAAATCGAAGTTTTAAAAAAAAATAATTGAAATTACTGTAAACTTATAATTTTCCACATAATAAATCACGATCATTAATTTTACTTATAACAGTAGTATTATTAATATTACTTATCATTTTCTAACTAAATTGAAAGAATAAATATTAACAATTAATGCAGATTCTTTAACCACTATATTACGAGGTATTTTCAATCAGATTCAGTGCATTCTTTCTTGTAAACATGGCAACACAGGGAATAAGCTGAAAGCCGACTGATTGCCTGTTGATCGGCGGTTCCCAATACAGGGTGATTCAGATTTTACTAGAATAACTTCAGGTATCGATAGAACTAACCGAGATAATGATAGTTTGTATTATAAACCATACTCCAAAAACGCTTCCGCTTGGAGTAAAATGGCGCTAAAATTTGAATTATTTTTCATATGGCATGCTGCTAATTAAGTAACATTTTTCAAACGCAGCTAAGCTATGTCTGGAATTTTGTGGAATATCTCGAAAACTAAGCAACATTTCAAAAAAAAATAAGAACAAGAAAAGTTAGCAAAAAGACAGAAGGTATCAGAAAAAAATTCAAATTTATCCAGTGGCGTGCGACAAAAAAGTTCGACAAGGTTCCGTGCAGTTGACACTCACAAAAACAACACCCTGTAGAGCAATTAATCCAATTTTTTTCACACATATCAGCCACGTTGCCCTTAGTATTTAACCAAACACTTGCTTATTTAGATCCTCTGGCTTACGAGTAATAAAATAAAAACCGAAAAATAATTCAAATTTTGGCGCCATTTTACTCCAAGCGGAAGCGTTTTTGGAGTATGGTTTATAATACAAACTATGATTATTTCGGTTAGTTCTATCGATACCTGCAGTTATTCTAGTAAAATCTGAATCACCCTGTATATTAACGTTGTTTTCTTGAAATTTCAAAGTTAAATAACTCAATTATTTTCATTTTTTATACAGATCTTCCAACCCTACATACTTATACTTATTTAAGAGTGACTCTGTATATGATTGGGTATTGTGACACCCTGCATATTTACACAATGAACGCCACATGGTTCTTAAAAAAACTTAATAAAGAAAAAATATATACATATACAATGATATTAACAATAAATAAATGATGACTAAGTGGTAAGAATTCTCTACGCCTGTTAAATACAAATTTTGGAATAACGACTGTGACTAAGTCTGTATGTCACTGATGTCATGCCGCAATGATTTTGTTTGTTAAGTGAAACAGAGTGATTTAAGTGCATTCACACTGACCATTTACATTTTTCCTCGTATTTTTCTCTTAAATATGTTCATATTTCTAGAATCAAGGAAAATTATATTTTTAAGTTTTAATTATTAGTGGTAAAATAGTAAAATTCCTATTTATTGCATTTAAAATAAATTCTGTGCAAGGATATAGATCAATATTTATATTAAGTAATTGGTTTAACCATGGATTGAAATTCCATTTACAACGTGATTTGAACCTACAGGGTGATCCAGTTTATTGTAAGAACTTTAAGACTATGGGCTGACATGCAAGTTTTAGTCGGCCGATTAATTTGTTGCAAAATTGTAACCAATATAATATAATATTTGCTAATATATTCTTGTGGAGCTGCGCACACATGCAATCAAATAGTCGACTGAACGGTTTCATAAGAATACATTTATTAGTTATTCTGTGAATACATTGTTTTCTCCATATACAACTCCTCAAGCAATGGAGGTCATTCTAGATCTAACACCACTGCACATTGTCGTCAGTAGATATGCCAATGCGACAATAATTAGAATGGTCATTGACGGAAACAGTACTGGGAATATTGTCAGCTAAGGGGAGGATATACCAAGAATGTACAACTTTGAGAAATACCTCATTGTATTGAGCAATAAAAAGGATTGGAAGAGAGACACGTTTGCTCAGCAGGTAAAAGACCTGGATAACGTGGTATACTGATGTGTCCAAAACCAAAGCAGGGACAGGGATAGGAGTATTTGTGACGAAAACTAAATACTCCAAATCAATGGGCACCTACCCCATCATCCTTCAGGCAGAAATCTACGCTATCGAAAGATGCGTCCAATTTGTATTCGATAGGAAACTGAATATACCGTATGTCGTATAATCGAAAAAAGTTGTTTTGTTGGCTTGGAAATGAATTATAAACAATTATTGACATTTAATAATTTACATATATGAAATAAGAGCGATCTTCATTACCAAGCCAACTCTGACGTCGTTCTTTGTTTAATTATATAATATTATATTAAATTGTTTAATGATAGAAAATCCGTATTATTAACGTACTGTACCCCAAAATCTGTAAATCTACGGATTAATCAGTAGTTCTGGCAACGCTGTCTCCGGCACCCACTCACTCTGTCGACGGAAACCAGAACTACGGTCAACTACGGTATCCTTTATCCACTGCTCTGTAAACGATCTGCGCACAGCGGCGCAGAGCTAAACCAAAGGCTAAACTAAATCTCGGATTTCTCGCACAGGCCGACGGTAACGCCAGCTACATTTCGGACATGTTTTGTGCCACGAAATCGCTATTTTATCGAATTAAATCAAGAACGGTAAACTAACTAGGATTGCTCATCCTCATAAGACGTACGTTCGCCTCTTCCCGCGCTTCAGCTGACAGTTGTGACGTCATTGTAGCCCTTGTCAAAGCCTTCGTGGCATTGTCATGATAGTGTGTATTATTAGTTGCCTACGGTAAACTTATAAATATAACAGCTGAGAAATTTTGAGTTAATTATTTTGTCAATTTTAAATGTGAAAAAGGTGTCTTTAAAGTTTTTAGAGCTATAGAGTGTATAAATACGTTCATTTTGTGTAGTGGATTGTGACAAAGTGCATACTAAGTGCCCACGATTTTGTTTATTAATTATTTTAAAGCAAAATATGGAAGTACTCTAAAAAGAATGCTTGCAAAAGGTGATGCTGGGAACTGCTGTTCTTAAAAATGCATTATCCGAGTATTTAATATGATTTATACAGTTAATTTTCTATACTGCATACATATAAGGTGTTTAAATAAATATACTAAATAATGAACGTTTTGCATTCGGTAACCAATAATGCACGTGTGTGTATTATTGGTTGCCGGATAAGGACTAATAATAATGACAAGGGCTACAATGACGTCACAAAGCGAGTAGTTTTCGCATGCACCTGGCGGACACTTTTGACTGAATGAGCAGTCCTATTAGGCTAACTGTTCTTGGAATTAACTTCCCCTAGGAGATGCAAGACCTTGTCGTTGGTGGGGAAGCTCCTTGTCAGGTGCTGGCAGAATCTCCTCTAGCACTTTGGCTCGGTCCAAGAAGCATCTCACTCATTGTCTTTTCTCTGGCTGTAGTGGCCAGGGAATTGCACCAAGACATTTAAACCAGGCACCTTCTACTGTCTGTGGTCATGTCTCGCGGGTAGAGGATGTGGGGGGGTCTTGGCTTAACCGCCTGGACCAAGAGGAGACAACCTCACCAAAAACCTAAATCCTACGATGGCGGGACCAGGTCAAAGGGATGCGTGGCTAGATAGGGGACTAGCCATTACTGGTCTCAACCTTGGGGCATCAGGGGGCACCCCATTGTATTTACCCCTTACTTCTACATGCGGGGCTCTGTAGAAGTGGACTGACTTTCCCTAGCGACTCGTGGGAACACTATGAGCAGTAATAAAAATAAAAACACCA